GAGATACTGTTTTAAAGATACAACTAGTTTAGATGAGATCGAGTTTAGTTAAAATGTATATTTTCAAAACGTGATTTCTCTCTTTATTTTTATGAACACCATGAAAATATAGAATAATTTATTCTACGTTCTTTTGTAATTGGGGGGCTGTCCTATTATTTTAAAAAAATATTAACTATAATTTACCAGAAAATAATAACTCGAGCAACCTTTTAGCTCTATAGCTTTTACTATTTTATCATGACTGTATTAATGAATTTTGTGTTCAAATTCTATGTTTAGGAAAGCGAGAGTACTGCTTTCCGGTTTAGTTAAAATGCGTGCAGTTTGTTTTTTATTAAAACTTTTTTAACCGCGACTTTCGTAGACAATGCATCAACAAAATCAGCTAAGTCAATATTGTTTCGATCCTTTATTACACAGCTCCAGAGAAGTAAACAAAAGTAATTCTTTATCCAAGATCCTAAACATGTTTTTTTCGTTATTTTCATTTTTTTTTTTGACGAAGCATGCTTGCTAGGTCTAGGAGTCAGAAACGCGCAGAACCTCAGCAAGACTTGCTCATAACGTCAGCACCGGGAGAGCAAGCTCCACCTACGCACTAGTTTCATTACGCTGATGTGAAACTAACAGTGTATAATTAACTGGCTAAAAATAATTCAGATCTTGAACCCGGCTTCAGGAAAGATAATTATTCATCTTACATTGCGTATATTTCTCCTTAAATTTTGATTCTTTCCATCGAGCAGGTGGGAATGATTTACAAACTATCTACTCACACCTAGACCATTGCTTTTTTACTTAACGATGAAATATGACTCATCTAAAGACCATTAGCTCTTCAACTGAACACTTGTTCTATGAAGATGAATCACAGCAAGTAGTTGCCTATTCGTATATGTTGCACTGCACGCGGCATGTTGGTGCTTGTAGAAACGGTTGGGTGCATGCATATTTTATTGTACAGTATTGCATATATGTATATATTTATATATGGTAGCGCCTACACCTATACGCACATTTATATTCACATATACGTGTATATAAAGTGAGATAAATGTGCTTGCAATATTGTTCCTATCCACATGCTAGTAAAAAAAATAAATGTGATTTGATTATTATATGGATATATAACTCATAGAAATTAATTTTTAGTGTTAACTAGTATGTCATTTAAAAGCCTGATTTGCTGGTCATCATTTCCTAATTGACATACTAACTGAAAGCCTGATTTGCTGGTCATCAGTTTGTAATCGATTACTAGTTAAAAGCCTGATTTGCAAGTCATCGGTTCCCAACTGATACACGGGTTTAAAGCTTGACTTTCTAGTCACCAGTTTCTAATTGATATATTGTTTAAAAGCCTGAACTGCCATTCATCAGTTCCTGATCTATATAATGTTTAATAGCCTAACTTACAAGTCATCAGTTCTATAAAATATATTACTAAGAACGAAAAAAAAGTACTAGCTGATAGATTGACCAACACACCAAAATTCTTAGTGAAATTCTTTCATTTTAGTGTTGGGTAAGAACATTCCATCAGATTTATCTTTACTTACTGGTCAGTCGTGTTTGTTAATAAGTCTATCTCGTACATAATGCTAATACGTATAATTACTATTCTCCTAGTTGTATTTTGACAGGTAAATTTGCTCTACATCGTAACTCGTGAAACTTTAAATAAAAAAAGATTAAAAGCTAACGTATGATATACTAAGGTTTATTTATTCACAATTGTAAACTCTTGCAGATGAGAAAATGAAAAGACGTAATATGCGAATACACCTCTTATTTGGATACCGCTAATCCATTTTACCGAAAACAACATATATTTATATGATATACACCTGTAACTAGTATCATGAAACACGGTTTCAGTTAGCAGTCGCTTAAGAAAAAGCATCTTAATAGAAAGTGGTAGTATAGAAAACTCACGGTTACTAATACGAATGTCGATGCAAAGCGGTACTCAATGCTATTGTAGACGCACCACAGTACTCATTGCTAGTGTAGACGCATCTTGGTACTACCTGTTATTGTAGACGTATCAAGGTGCTCATTGCTATTGTATATGTACCACGGTACTCATTGCTATTGTAGACGCATCTTGGTACTACCTGCTATTGTAGACGTATCAAGGTGCTTATTGCTATTGTATATTTACCACAGTACTCAATACTATTGTAGACGCATCATGGTACTCCCTGCTATTATAGACGCATCACAGTACTTAATGCTATTGTAGACGCACCACAGTACTTAATGCTATTGTAGACGCATCACGGTACTCGATGCTACCGTAGACACATAACGGTATTCTTTGTTAGTGTAGACGCATCACGGATCACGATAGTCAATACTAATATAGACGAATCACGGATCATAGTACTCATTGCTAATGTAGACACATCACGGTAATCAATGCTAATGTAGATGCATCATGGTATTCAGTATTAGTGTAGACGCATCACGGTACTCAATGCCAATGTAGATTCGTAACGATACTCAATACTAATATAGATGTATCACGGTTCATGATATTCACTGCCAATGTAGACTCATCACGGTACTCAATGCTAATGTCGATGCATCATGGCATTAAATGCTAATATAGATGCATCATGGTGTTCAGTGCTAATGTAGACGCATCATGGGCCACGATACTCAATGCCAATGTAGAGGCATCACGGTACTCAATGTTAATGGAGATGCATCATGGTGCTCAGTGCTAGTGTAAACGCATCGTGGTGTTCAGTGCTAACGTAGACACTCTCGCTAACGATGTTTATGGCAAGAAATTTTTTAACAAAAAAGCATCCCGGTAAGAAATATTAAAGTAACCAATATTATGGTAAGAAATCCTATCTTTTCTTTCTGTTCCCGATAACAAACACTAAGAAAACAAGAGGGAATCCTCAATAGCCACGGCACTTGAAATTCTTTTAGGCGGGATTAGAGTAAGTTAATCCATGATACCTTTATTTTCATTTTTATTACCTATATTTTTGTACGCCAGCAATACCAAGTGTGAAGCGCGCATATACCCGATTCGAGTTGATTACTCATCAGGATCTCTACCAGACTATCCTAAAGTTGAAATATTTTTAAGCACGATTAGAGTAAATTAATCTATGAGACCTTGGGCGTGGTCAAATACATCAATTAAAAGGGTTTTACCTCCTGAGTCCAAAAACTGTAATTAGATCTCAAATCGGTGAAGAGATGACAGAACTATGAGCTAAAGTTTGTACTTGAAAAAAAAAAAAAAATCTCAGCCATTCTATGAACCGCTATACCGCGGCTAAAAACAACACCGCAACACATAGTTTAACAAGACATTTTGTCATAACAAGGTTTGAGTCTATGAAGGTGATCTTTACGTTGCTTCAAAACTTTAAAAACTGTAGCAATAATTTTCACACTGAAATGTTGTAAAAAAATATAATACAGGTTGACCATCAATAGTCCGGCAATCAGTAATCCGGTACTAATTTCGGCTAGAAATTAGTGTACCTGTGCCTGTATTTCATTAAATTCTTCACTTGAATTTATTTGATAATTATCTTTTCTTTATTAATCAACTTGTACTGTTTATGGGATATTTTAATTTTAAGATGAGGTGGTTAGCTAGTGGGTTTGGTGTATTCTAACATAATAAATGGCTAATCCGGCACCCTCCAGGTCCCGATGATAGCGGATTAGTGATAGTCAACCTGTACTTCTCAGAAAGTTATACGCAACTCAGTAGCAAATTTCAAAGAGGATTACGAGTAAGGACCGTGCAAAGTAGTGAGAGAGCTAATGAATTAACTATGACATGAGCACTCTTGCAAGACTTCGGATCTGACAGTTGAGGTCAAAAGTTAGTGACATTTGCGTATATTTATGAGACAAATGTGTCATTCAGGTGCAATATTGGAACATGCCCTTTAGATATGCTTTGATATATATATATATATATTACCAGAACTGTACGGTCACTTTCTGGAGAAACAAATCGGTGCCATATTTTTTGCTTGTTTTACAAGTAGATAGAAACCCTTTTCCACTAGTTCCATTATACGCACGAGTTTAAAGTTCGCAGATATTGCGTTTATGATCTGTGCAATGTGTAAAACTGCACTGCTCGGTAATCTTTTAATCCTGATAGTGATTGGTGTTACAGCGTCACATGAACAACTACGTCATTGTTGTTTCCAAGTCTCACACTAAAGTTTAAGCAAAGGATTCCCATGAGAGCCTGAACCCACTTTGGATAAGTGCCGAGGGAGCAACAGGCACGTATACAGTAAACTCAAAGTTTTGAAAGTTTAAGGCTGGACATATGACAAAGGTTTATACATTGAAACAAATTTGTTTTGTCTGTTTGTCGTTAAGCACAAAGCTTCGCAATGAATTATCTGTGCGGTGCTCATCATGGGTATTGAAATCTAATATTTAGCATTATAAGTTTTCATACTTACCTCTGAGCCACCGGGGAGCTTAAAACAAATAGCATAATTAATTTATAAAACATGATCATACTTCCCTGATATCAGTATTTTACACTTTTATGTTTGAAAAGACATAAAAATAAATCTAACAAAGTTTCAGTTTCTGTGTTAACGAGACAGGCTAAATACAAAATATGGCATGCAACTTACCCTGTTTTTCTCTTTTTAAGGGTCACGTACACAAAATATTTCAATTGCACCATTTAGAGAAAATTTTTAGTCATTTTTAACGTTATTTCCTCGCATTATTTAAGAAAAACGCATAAAAACACAAAAAATTTTAGTATCAATTATTCGTTATACATAACTCAATAACCAGCTTAGTTTCTGTGGCAGTAAAAAAATCCCATGGCTTGATTTTTGTGTTTGAAAGGGAATACGTAATGCATATTAAAAAAAAAAGCTTGGAATTTTAAAGTGCGCTGTGCTTTTTAAATTTTCTTCAGTGAAATAGACACTATGGGATAGTTTTACTGTTCTGTTTTGGATTGAGGTACTACTTACCTATACGAAGTAGCCTTTCCTTTAGTCTGGAGCGTAGACACCGCGAAGATACAAAATTGCAGAACATAAGCCAAGTGTATTAGAAACTCAATATGTTAGATGCTAGGTAACTTAGAAACCTGGCAATGCATCAGAAATGACCTTTGTACGAATTCCAAACACTATGTATTAAAATTACAGACCATCGTACTTCGAGGCAGTGCTACACCAGGCTCACACAGGGAAAGTTAGAACGCAGCAAACAACTGTTGTTGAGCTCACATACGTGCGTGGGGAATCTACGTAAATGTCACCATAGCAACCGGGTGACTCGAATAGTCCGGAACGACTTACGCACACACCTCGCGATACATGTTATGCTTTGAAACTTTTAAATAAAAAATATCTCCAATGTCTTACCTTTGTCAACCAACATTTACAAAGTTCACCCGGAAACAATGCAGATGCTCGGACCCCTGTAGAGCGAATTGTTGACAACCAATCTGCTCACTATTAATGCTTGCTTAGCTATGTCGACTGCCTGATGCAGTAACGGTGAGGTCAGCCGAACCAAATTAAAACATGTCCACCAGAAAGGACAAAATAACAACCAATCCCTATTGCTACCGTCATGAATATATACAGTGGCTGTTAACTTAAATTGTTGCTTTTGTCCAAAGGTATCGCAGTGAAACAGAAGATATGCAGTAATGTTTAACCGGCAATAAACCACGGAAATGTTGTTTAAGGGAATTAGGTAGATTTTTATTTTTGCAATATCTTTTTTATACTAATGTTTCCAGATAGTCATATATTAAAGCGAGTCACATTTGTTGTCACGTTTTACGCCTGTAAAACGTGCTTCTCTTCTGAACATCAGAGACAAATAGAAATTGAAAGCTGTACTTTATAGCTTTAACAGACTGTTTTCTTACTTTATATTTTCTTTCTTTGTTATTTATTTATCCAATATATCGAGTAGGGTACATCAAGTGTGTGTATGTATATTAGCATTAACCCTACAGTAGAGTGAAACCTAGCTCACTGCTATGATATGCCGATATCATTAGATCAGGCTTAATCCTAAAACAACACATTCCAATGCCATTGAATATAGTTGAATAAATGGTTGAAAACCATTTTATATGTTCGACTCTGTGTGTTAGATTGTACTAAGTACGCGTAAAGAAGCGATTACTTTCTGGTAATCGGTTTATTACCTGACTTACCGTCCCAACGAACACAGTTCAAGTCTTTGTTTTTTACAATTCAGAAAACTGATTGTCAAAGACATCTATGTACATATATGAAAAAAGTGGATTTAATGGGAAATTATTTTAAAGTTTATTACACCTTAATTTTCATTAACTGGATCTTCCCTTATTCAAGATCTGTATATCTGTGTAAGAAACTGATCGTATTTATTGATAAACTAGCTGGAGTACCCGTCCTCTGGACGGAAGTTATGTAAATTCATGATTAATGAAGGTTATCGTAGGTTATTTAATTGTAAAAAACGCCCATAAAAACTGCAAAACACAAAATGTGAAAC